AAAAAATAACATTTTCTATTTTGTTATTTTAACAAAAGTTTACAGAAAAGTTATATTTTCATTCATTTGTTGTTGCATATTTTACCCCCCGTCCCTCCCTTCCCCTTCCCAAGTTGACATTTTTGGTGATAGTTTATTTACAGAATTCTAATACATTGTTTTTGAGAACAGATTCTTCCCATTTCCCCCCACCCCCCACCCATTAAATTATGCAATTCCATGACTAATCAATCCCACCTTTCCCTGCACATCCTCATCCCTCTGCTTCCACCATCTCCCGTCCCCCTTGTATCCTTATACTCATTCTACACAATAATTGTTTTATACAATAGTTGTCCTTGTGGGCCTGAGTTAGATCACTCAGTATAATGCTTTCCAGTCCCTCACAAGTTAGGTAATGATTTACAAAATTAATGCTCCTATGTGCCGTGTAGTATTCCATTGTGTGAATGTACCATAATTTCTCAATCCATTCATCTGTGTTTAGACATATGGGCTGTTTCCATGTTCTTGTGATGGTAAATAATGCTGCTATGAACATTGGTGTACAAATCTCCGTTTGTGCCTTAGTTCTCATTTTCTCAGTGTAGATCCAAGTAGTGGAATAGCTGGCCACTTCTTGCCTAACTTCTCTCCTTTATGGCCTATTCCTGGAGACTCTGCTCTCTAAACCTTGTCCCTTCAGGATCCCTGGAACCTAACTCTAATCATTCACAACTTACAGTTTCACACCTTCCTCGTAGTCTTTCCTCCAGAAGGACAAAAACGATCTTGTTTTTGTAGCCTCTGCGTTATGTGGGTGTGGTAGTATGAATAATAACTTCCAATGATTTTCATTTCCTAATTGCTGGAACCTGTGAATATGCCACTTTCTGTGGTAAAAGGGACTTTGCAAACATGACTAAATTAAGAATAATGAAATGAAGATTAATCATCCTAGATTATCCTGGTTGTTGTTGTTAGGTGTCATTGACTCACAGTAACTTTATAAATAGCAGATCTCAACCCTGCCCTATCTGGTGCCATCCTCATCATCTCTGACATATGTTGAGTCCCTTGCTGCTGTCACTGTGTCAGTGCATCTCATTTAGGTCTTCCTTTCTTCCACTGACTCCACCTTTCCAAGCATGATATCCCTTTCCAAGGAAAAGTCTTGCCTAACAGTATTTCCAATGTATGTGAGATGAAGATTTGCCACCCTTGTCTCTAAGAAACACTGAGGTTGCAACAGACTGGTTTGTTCTTTTGGTAGTCGATGTAATATTCAGTATTCTTTTCCAACACAACTCATTAATTTCTTCTGTAATCCTTATTCATTGTCCAGCTCTCAGATGTATAGCAAGTGATTGAAAAGACCATGACCTCAATCAGGTGCACCTTAGTCTTCAAACTGACATCATTGAACCTTAGTACCTTGGAGAAGTCCTTTATAGCAGACTTTGCCAATGCAACATGGCTATTATTATTTCTGCTAGTAACAAGAGTGTTTGTTGATTGTGAATCCAAGTAAGAGGGAATGAGTGACAATTTCAATCTTTTCTCCATCTATCAAGATATTGCCTATTGGACCAGTGGTAAAGATTTCTGTCTTCTTGATGATGAAATGTAATTCATATTGATGGCTGTAGTCTTTGATCTTTTTCAGCAAGTATTTCAAGTCCTCTTTACTTTCAGCAAGTAAGGTTGTGTCATCTACATAACACAGGTTGTTGATGAGTTTTCCTCCAATCCTGATGCTACATTCTACTTTAGTCCAACTTCTCAAGTTATTTGCTGAGCATACAGAATGAATATGTATACAGAAAGGATACTGTCCTAACATACACATTTTCTGATTTTCAACCATGCAGTGTCCCCTTGCTCTGTTTGGATGACAGTGTCTTGGTCTAGGTATAAATTTTGTATGAACATAATTAAATGTTCTGGGATTAACATTCTTCTCAATGTTACCCATAAATTGTTATGATCTATGCAGTCAAATGTAATTTGTACAAGGGTCTTTTTAAAAGGTTCAGAGTCAGAGAGAGAGAGATGACTTAAGGATGGATGCAAAAGTTACACAGAGAAAAACAGATTTGAAGACTCCCATTGGTGGCCTCTGAGGAGAGAAGCATGAGTTTAAGACTGTAGGAGACAAGGATGTCAATTTTCTTCTACAGCTTCCCAAAAGGAATTAACTGCTGATAACTTGATTTTAGACGAATGAGAGACTTTTGGACTTTTTAAAAATTTTTTATTTTATTTTATTATTTTTGTGTGAGTGTACTGTCAAATCAGATCTGACTGGTACAGGAGGAGATTGTCCCTCCTTCCCCGGCAGAGCATCTGGTGGATTCGAACTGTGTGCCTCTGGGATTGTAGTTGCAGCTCCTTGCCACTAGGTCACCAGAGCTCCCCTACTTTTGGACTTTTGATCTCTCAAACTACAAACTCAAAACTCATTGCCAAAAAAAAAACACCCCCCCCAAAAAAAACCCACAAAAACAAAACAAAACAAAACCCCAACACAAATCCAAAACAAACAAAACCCAACCCACAAAAATCAACAAAATAAAAATAAACCACCAAAAAATGCCTCATTGCCTTTAACTCAGAACTGACGAATAGCTGACTCTCCAGAAGGTTTGAAGAGACTGTCAATTAGGCAGGGCGAGAGTTGCACCTCTTTATCTCATGGCCCTGTGGTGAATTTGAACCAATAAAGAGGCACAACTCCTTATGGACGGCCACTAGTGCCTCCTCTCAAATGACAAGATAGTAAATTTGTGTTTTCT